TATATATATATATATATATATATATATATATATATATATATATATATATATATATATATATATATATAGTGATGTCCATGGATCTATACAATGAGAATCAGATCGTGATGAGATCACAATAACGAGACCGATTCGTCTTTAAACACATATCCTAAATAATCTCGATCATAGGTTACTCGATAGGGATATCGAGATAATCGGACATATTAGTATATTGTATACCCGTCCATATGATGGAAGTGACTGGTCTCATAGCTGCTCGTGTGGGGACATTATGAACATAGTACATGTGCTCATTGGAAAATGAATTAATTGGAATGCTAAGTCTGGTATCGAAGAGTAGAGTCTATTTATATTAATCGAGAACTTCCAGACTAATTCAATAGGAATTAATCGAGATTGAAAAAACATCTAGTATATTATCATATAAGAGATAGTGTCTATTTATAAATAACTGCAACAACAGATAATATAGAATAAATAATAAAAAAAATCACTTTTATCAAAATTATCTCCTGATTTTTTTTTCTATTAATTAATAACTACAATCAAGATATCTATAACATATTTTATCTAATTAAATTGAACCACATAATAACATTTATATCTAACCTAACATATGCAGATCAAGAGATGCAATCTAGAAGACTAAAAAAAAAGTCACTAGAGACAATTACAAGCAAATCGAGCAATTATCACCGTGTCAGCACTAAGGAGAACAATTAAACGTGCTTAAGGAGACACAACTTGAATTCCATTAAATAAAAAAAAAAGTTCCAAGGATCGATTGCTAAGGTCGAAAATTTTGAACAGAGCAGTGGAGGAAAAGCGTAAATTGCGCAAAGCCAGCCATCGAATACTTGGCGTCCTCTGTTTCGAACCCGAGCTCACACGACGGAGATCTTCGCCCCGACTTCCTCCAGCTGCTTCTTGGCCTCCTCCGCCTCCTCCTTCGACACGCCCTCCTTGAACTTCTTCGGCAGGCCCTCGATCAGGTCCTTGGCCTCCTTGAGCGCCAGGTTGGTCAGCGCCCGGACCACCTTGATGGTGGCGATCCTGGCGTTGCTCGGGACATCCTCGATGACCACGTCGAACTCGGTCTTCTCCTCGACCGCGGCGGGGGCACTGCTCGCCGCGTCGGCGGCGGCTCCCGGGGCGACGGCCACCGCGGCGGGGGCGAAGGCGGCGGCCGAGACGCCGAGGCGGTCCTGGAGGTGGTCGACGAGGCCGCGGGCTTCCTCGAGGGTGAGGTTGCATATGAGGTTGCCGACCTCCTCGACCTTGGGGGAGACGGCCGCGGGCGGGCGGAGGAAGGCGGCGCGGCGGTGGGAGCGGAGGGACAAGGGTTGGGAAGGGAACTTGAGTGCCGGGGAGGGGGCGGCAGAGGAGTTGGTGGAGTAGGAGGAGACGAGGAAGAGCGCGGAGGTGAGAGTGGCCGCCATTTTCCTCTTCTTTCTCCTCGCTTGTGCCTCGAGCGGAATGGGATGAGAAAGGCGCGCGAGAGAATGGATAAGGCAGGGAAGCAGCAGCAGCAAGAAATGGGAGGTTTGGGTGGCCAAAAGTGGTCGCCTTCCTAGGGAGATAAGCCTGCGGCTTAAACCTGGTTGAGTTCAACCCGAGTCGTAGCGAGATCCAGTTGACTCAAGAGTCTGATCCAGACGCAATCTTGATTCAACCTGACCCAATCTAATTCGATCCAACCTAATTTAATCGCTTGGTTCATGCAGAGGAACAGTGATATCTTCTTTGTAACCGCCGCTATAATCATGCTTTCAGAGTCGTGAAGTTCGTTAGCTCACTGTTATATGGTTCGCTACATCGACGACACTACCGATGGACGCCGCTCGCCACCCATCGCTCGGCCGCGGCTCCCGCACTCGACGTCGGCCGGCTTGATCTCGATCGCTGGCGAAATGCATCGGAGTCAGGTTGGTTCGTCTCGCCTCGATCGCTCCCCTTTTCCCGTACGTACTTCTTGCGAACCCAAAGTTCGTTCTTTTACGCCATGGAACATCCCAAATCTGAGCACTTATATTGTTGGGGGGTCAGTGTTAATTTGCATTCTTCTACGGAGGAAATAGTGGTTTTCATACCCTATTACCACCTTTCACTTCATGATCATTGAGATTCTTGGCATCGCTGTCAAATTCACCAGGTTTTTCCGTCGGTTGATGATCCACTACCAATTGTTTGCAACCACGGGATGAATGCTTCTCAACGAGAAGGCTCACAACTCCTTTTAGTTCGACTTAGGGTTTGTCCAAACCCTAGGGAAGAAAAGGTGTTAGAACCAGTGAATTTTGATCAATTCTTTTAGGGTTCCCGTATCGTAAGCTTGAGCCCATCGAGATGAGTATATCCTGCCTCTTTGGCACTTTGTGTTTCTGGACCCCCTTCGAAGGCTTGGGTAACTCTTTTATTGCTATGCAGGTTGAGTTATAGTCCAGATATGTATATATCAAATGTTTGGACGGTAGAAGGTGCAGGAAACCTTGGTTGATCGTAGAACACATATTTTGATGATAATGCTACCGCTGTGTGCAGAATCTGAAATCTGTAGCATGGTAGTTCATCTGCGTACAGGATTGTCGTACGAGATGTTATCACGACAGTCACATTGTTTTTGGTGATCAATTAGGCAACATCTAAGCTCCCGATTACCTTTGGAACAGTCATAAAAGCTTTTTTTTGGGGCATCTAGCTTTTCTTTTTAGGAAAATGTTCCTGAGCAATTGTATATGTTATTTTGTTCTCACCATGCCTTCTTTAGTTTTCCTAGTCCTCTCCACAAACCTTTAATTTGAATTAGCTTACTTTATTGTTGGTCCTTACAGAGGGCTATTTCTTATCCATGTTCAAACTACCATCCAGTCATTTTGGACTATTTGACATGAACAAAATCCCAGTCTATTGAGTAGCTAAAAGTAAAACTGAGACAAGTGCTCCATGAGGAGCCAGCAATTTTCTGTAACATTTGACATAAAATTACTGAGTATAAAGTTTAATGGTACAGTAGTTCCTTTTTGGCTTTTCAAAGATGCTTCATGCAAAAAAGTTGCATTTGTTTTTTGGAACTACTTAGTTAATGCCTGGATGTGCTTGTGCTTATCTTTAGTCTTGATAGAACACTTAAACTTGTGTAGATCCATAGAATTTGCAAAAGAAAGAAAAAGAAAGGAAGTCAACTAACTCTCTTGACCAAGAGGATGCTACAGTAGTTTATATACTTTTAGAGGTTGAGAGCCTAGAGATGCACAGTCATTGAAAGGGATCACATTCCTTAGATCTCTCATGATTACTTTTGTTTTTCGCTCTACATTTTGTACTAGGCAACAGAGGATGCAGGGATGTAATTGGTTTTGGGCTTTGACATGGCCACCATTATTAAAAGCAGGCCTCAAGTAGGTCTCTCCTTCCAGGACAGCGTCTTCTGGTTTAAAGTCAAGTGATTCATCTAGATATCCCAACATTTTGGGCCAGTAAATCTCTGGGGCTTAGAACCCTAATATTATCCTTGTTTGTAACAATACTAGAGTTAAGAGCCATTTTTTGTGCAACTTGTGGGATTATCCTGCTTGGACTTATGATAAGTTGTGACCAATGTAAGGCTACCTTAATTTTTGTAAGCTCAGGCACCCTCTCATGGCTTGGAATCAGATTGTAGACAAGTGGAATAGGCTAGTACGTTTTCTTAAATAACATGTTCAAGAAATCCTACCAAAATGAGGTCAGAAAGAGACTGAGAAACACATGTTTCATACAGTGATCGCTGTGTCAGCTGTCAACCACTAATATCATATCATGTTTGTCACTTTCCCTATCTTCACGATCTATCTAAAAGCTACCAGCTACAAGACATTTGCATTTTTTGGATGAGATGAGTCATAAAGAACGGTTGTACAGGCAAAGGGGTATCATTGTCTCAATAGCTCATCTTGCTGTGCTCCGCAAGTTACAACTAGCAGCAGGCAAGGGGTTATCATCAGTATGCCTCTAGTTAAAAACACCATGTTCATGAATTCATTTTTCTAAACTGTACAAGAAGCTAAATTAAATAGATTAAGGCATACTTCTTTTTTTCTCCCTAGAACTAACGACTAAGATGATCCTATATGTGTAACTGGAATCTAGCAAGAATTAAACAAAGCCTGCTTGCAAATAATGCTGCCTTTGGAAAGTACTATATGAGTTTCTTGACTAAGTTACCCTATCATAATGTATATTTTACATGTTCTTCTTCATGGTTTGTTTGCATCAGCTTATTTGTAAGTCTAGCATGCTTGTCGACTTGAGGAATGAAATGTTCCAACGAATTATCATCTGCCAAATGATTAACATGTGTGCAGGTTTGGAGAGGCAGGAAGAAGGAAGTAAGTGTCAGCCAAAAGAAACATCGTCTGTCTTTCTTACATTCCAAACACACAGCTTGGGGTAATTGATGGCATAGGCAGCCATGCACCTGGTTCTCAGGTGGGTAAACAGGTTTGATCTCCTGGATGATGCAGCCCCGGAGTCGAAGCGACTAGAATTGCACCGAAGGCAGGATTGCCGCCACCAGCAGGTATGCAAAAGCAACTGTAATGTGCATGCTGTCTTAGGTCAAAAACAAATGGTTTGGATGTGAAATATTATGTTGGATCTCATCGAGTGGTCAACCAAAGGTGTGTTCTTATACATCACATTCATAAACTTATTAAGCAGGTGTCATTTGTTGTTGGCAATAGCACACTTCCTGAGTTCAATCTGTACACTATGATAAACGTCGAATGAAGTTAAAACACTGTTTGTTCAAGAACTAGGACTTCTCATTATTTGTCATGTTCAAGAACTTATCATCACCACACCTCGTTATGAGCATACAACTATTTTGCAATAGAGTAAATCAAGCATTTTATTGTTTCTTATTCTCTAAACTGATATCCTTGAGATTCATCAATTATGTGTGCACTTGTGATTCGCAGAAACAGAAGTGGAATAGCCAGATTCGATGATTTATCTGCCCTCTTGGCAGGGACTTGTCACCGGGCGACTCCCACGGAAAAGATGCCACGGTCGAGGTTGATCGAAGACAATGAAGTGCTTACATGCGTGCGTGCGTGCTACCTTTTTCTTCACAGGGTGAACAGTCGGTGTGACAAGTGTCCTCGAAGTTTGTCGCCCCTTTTCCTACAATCCACGAGAGGAGGAGACAGTACGAGTCAGCATCCATCAGACGCACCAGGAAAGGAAAGGAGTGAATCGTCTGCCATGTCCAGGGAAGCTCACATGGATGCATCACCCACCTCCCATCCAAGCCCGGGTAATGAAGTTGCAATATTCCTTTCTTATATTCTTTGCACAAGTCTCTCAATTCCAGTTTGCTCTCTCTCTTCTTCTTCTAGATTTTCCTCAACTTTCCTGCAGAGGCTTACTGATGAGAGGCTATCAGATGTCGAATATGGATTTCGTATCATTGTTTCTGTTCCTAAGAATAGTATCCATATCAGATCTTGCGCCGACAGAATTATCACAAATTTTGAATGTTCAAAGTATACCGACAAGGACAGATTTCAGAGAGTCCACGCTTCCAAACAAGAAACATTAGGACCACAGATATGCATTGTCAAGGTCCAAGATGTGGCAAATGTTTGGGCTCATTCTCTTTGAGATAAGATGAAGAGTTCCATCCACCGGTACAGCTTCTAGAGGGGAACTAAGCAATACCATCAGCCGAACAAGTCTGCATGTCTCGAGTCATCGAGGCAACCCACAATACGGCAAGCTGATGAGTGATCCATTAAAGAAAGCTTGGGATGAATGGAATCCTACACAAAAGGACTGTTCTGTTATCGAAGCAGGTATAAAGCTTGTGCGGACCATTCTTTCTCCACTGGCAGAGTTCTTTACCCTTTCTTTATCTTGTTTTGTTTCAGGTTTAATGATTCTCCCGTCCAACCACTCGACCTAAAAGCTGCTTCTAAAAATGATGTCCCCCGAGAAATGTCAACTTTAGGCCACTTCATCTCAACTCATAAAGAATGCCCATTTTGCGTGAACAGCTGCACCCGTTTCTTTTGCTGCATGTTACAAGTTCGTTTTATATGTATATATTTACATATATATATGTTGAGGGGCTTCCATCGACCTAAATTAATTATTAAGATGATGTGACTAGTAATGTGGAAACTAGACCTTATGAGCCTTTGTTGGTCAATAAAGACTGCAAGCACAATGTCAAGGTACATGTGGAAACATTGGGGGGACATCAAACATAAATCAAGTCACTGTCACTCCTTAGCAAGTTCAGACGTGGGCACAGTGTCATCTATTATCTTTATCTACTTAAAGTCTAGCCGGAGTACACAGACTTGAAAATGCCGCCTGCCATTGATGGCAAAAAGAGTTTTGTACCCGGAATGTGGGCACTGTGAGTTCCTGGTTTTCCTAAACAAGTGTAACATATGTAAATTATTTTTTTCTATTTTCTTTTTCTCATTCAAACCGTATAAATTTCTCCTTGAAGCTTATATGTTGTGTTTGAGAATATAATAAAGAAATTGTGATTCTTATTTTTTTTTATGACTCAAAGAACATTTATTTATATTTTTCACATTTTATTTTTTATTATCTTCCCTTTGTTTGTTGAGAGGGAAAGGAAAAAACTTGAAAAAAAAAAAAATCAGAGATCAACAAATAATTTTGTGTCAATGTTTATGGAGAAAATTAAAATTTTTACTATGTGAGAAAATTTATAAGATTCTTGAATTATTATCTCTTGTATCTTCTCTCATATAAATCTAAAAAAAAAAATTCAACTTTTCTATATCCACTATAGAGATTCTTTCAAGAAAACTCGAAGTACGTAACCTCTATGTCTCTTTCTCTCACTAAAATTTTAAGATTTAAAGTATATTTATAAATATAAATTTTAATATAAATTTTAATTTTATTAAAAAATTATAATCGAATTAAAATTTTCAAAAATAGTTGGAAAATAATTATTCCTTCAAAAGAGACTTTCCGACCATAACACTTTTATGGTTACTTTTTCTTTCGAATCCACGCTTTCTTTCTTTCCCTCCCTCCCTCTCTCTCTCTCTCTCTCTCCCGTGAGCGTCAAATTTACGAGAGTTCATTTGACCAATAAGATTCAAATTTATCGAGACTAAATATTTTTTTTTCATTCTTATTCAATATATAATTAAAACAATTGACTAATGATCCAAACTCTCCTATATCAATCGATCACCCAACTGCTTACGCAACCAACCCATTGGCTGCAGGTAATGAACTCTGACCATCCAATTCATTACATGACTCGTTGCACATCACCATTAGAATATATCTAAATGCACCGGGCATTATGCATGTGCACACTGTTGATGCATCACGGCATCCAAAGTACTTGGTTGATGTGAACTGACAATATTAAGTTGACTCCTAGTTATCACCTCAGGGAACAACCAGGTCCCCCTTACACATCCACCCAGGATCCCTCTCTCTCTCTCTCTCTCTCGGTAATTAAAGTCCCACATCAAACGCTTAACTCGCTCTCTGCTCCAACCACCCATTCATTGTGCACTGCACCTAAATCTATCGTTCAGGACGATTTGGTCCTCCTATCGCTTGCAAATGATTGATCGTTAATCGCAGGACTGCGTCGATATCTATTCCGAGCTCATGTCTTCGGTAAGCACTCGAGCTGATAGTGTAGCGTTCATCTGCCACGATGCATTCCGTCGACCAAAGTAGACTCTGCTGGTGACGGTGCGATAGCTATCCCCGCGTTGCGTGCATCATCTCCCAAGTTTGGTGAATAGCTCTACAAATAAGGCCACATGTGGATTAGATCGACCGTGTCATATCCCACGAGTTGAACAGAGGCTGGCGGTCGATGGCGCCGAGCCAACGCCGGAGTTAGAAGAGACGAGGCAGCCGTGTCATATTTGTAAACACTTGGTGTGCACCAGCCAGCCTACCATGGATGGTCGGGCTTCCAAATTATTGTCCTTAAAGCTTCCGGGTGTGGGGCTGATGGCGCCTGCTACCAACGCAGGACAGGCTGTGCACGTTGCGTGATGCTTGGCATCATCGAAAGACACCTTCTCCTCCTCTCTGGCTCGATTGTGTTGTGACCTCACTGGTTTTGCTCCATAATGCTCGGCACAGTGGTCAGCCACCGCTCCTTTCTCCCTCCCTCCCTCTTCTCCTCGCGTCCCTATTTGGCCGCTCACCTACCACGGGGCGCGGCGCGTGGCGCGCCGCGCGCCCCCATGCGAGCACCGTGCAGCAGTGGCGACGGGGTAATTAAAACGCTTCTCGGCGTCTTTGAAGCGTACCAACGAACGCCTGGTGCGCCCTCGCGGTCCCCTCCTCCCCTCCCCCGTTCGCTGTCTTGATAGCGACCGCGAGATGAGAGTTCTTTCCCCTCCTCTTCTCTATTTAAGCCCCCGTGTGGGTTCGATTTCGAAGACCTTTTCCGCCTGCGCCTATGAGCAATGCTTGTGGCTGAACACCGAGATCAGTGTCACTTGGTTTGCTTTTGGTATAAGAAAGAGACATATTGGAATACAACACAGGTAAACTGGTGGAGAAGAAAAGGATTCTTTTCCTGAAACTGAGAAGGGGGAGAGAGAGAGAGAGAGGAGACAGAGAGGTGTTCGCCGCCTCCTCTTGTGTTTGGACCGCTCATTTGCCCTTCTCTCTCTCTCTCTCCTTGGATTAAATCTTCTTAGATCTCAGCCGAAGGAACACGGATGGAGGGAGGAGGTGAGCAGGCCCCGCCAAGGCGGCGGACGCCGTCGCCGGGGCGGAGCCGGCGTCTACCGGACTTTTTGCAGAGCGTCAACCTCAAGTACGTGAAGCTGGGTTACCACTACCTGATCACCCACCTGCTCACCCTACTGCTGATCCCGCTGATGGCGGTGATCCTCCTGGAGGCGGCGCAGACCGATCCCGACGAACTCCGGCAGGTGTGGCTCCACCTCCAGTACAACCTCGTGAGCGTGCTGGTGTGCTCCGCGGTCTTCGTATTCGGCACCACTGTCTACATCATGACGCGGCCTCGCCCCGTGTACCTCGTTGACTACGCCTGCTACCGGCCGCCGCCCGAGCTCAAGGCGCCGTTCCACCGCTTTATGGAGCACTCGCAGCTCTGCGGCGGGTTCAACGAGTCGGCACTCGAGTTCCAGCGCCGAATCCTCGAGCGCTCCGGCCTCGGCCAGGACACCTGCTTACCCGTCGCCCTTCACTACCTCCCGCCCCGCCCCTCCATGGCCGCCGCCCGCGAGGAGGCCGAGCAGGTCATGTTTGGCGCTCTCGACACGCTCTTCAACAACACCGGCGTCAAGCCCAAGGACGTCGGCGTCCTCGTGGTCAACTGCAGCCTCTTCAACCCCACCCCCTCCCTCTCCGCCATGATCGTCAACCGCTACAAGCTCCGCGGCAACATCAAGAGCTTCAACCTCGGCGGGATGGGCTGCAGCGCCGGCGTCCTCGCTGTCGACCTTGCGCGAGATCTCCTCCAGGTCCACCGCGCCACCTACGCGGTCGTGGTCAGCACCGAGAACATCACCCAGAACTGGTACTTCGGCAACCGCAAGGCCATGCTCATCCCCAATTGTCTGTTCCGCGTCGGCGCCGCCGCCCTGTTGCTGTCCAACCGCGCGGCGGATCGCCGGCGCGCCAAGTACAAGCTGGTCCACATCGTTCGCACCCACCGCGGCGCCGACGACAGGGCCTTCCGCTGCGTCTACCAAGAGCAGGACGAGGTCGGCAAGGTCGGCGTGTCCCTCTCCAAGGACCTCATGGCCATCGCCGGGGAGGCGCTCAAGATCAACATCACCACCCTCGGCCCCCTGGTGCTTCCCATCAGCGAGCAGCTTCTCTTCTTTGCGACGCTGGTGGCCAAGAAGCTCTTCAACGGCAAGGTGAAGCCCTACATCCCGGACTTCAAGCTGGCGTTCGACCATTTCTGCATCCACGCGGGGGGAAGGGCCGTGATCGACGAGCTAGAGAAGAACCTGCAGCTGCGGCCCATCCATGTGGAGGCCTCCCGGATGACCCTGCACCGCTTTGGCAACACATCCTCCAGCTCCATCTGGTACGAGCTGGCTTACACGGAGGCCAAGGGGCGGATGCGGAAGGGCCACCGCGTGTGGCAGATTGCATTCGGGAGCGGCTTCAAGTGTAACAGCGCGGTGTGGCAGGCGCTTCGCAACGTGAAGCCCTCCCACGATGGTCCATGGGAGGACTGCATCCACGGTTACCCTGTGGAGATCATCGATGGGTTTCCTCCTCGGGAGCCACAGCAGCAATAGTGGCTGTGTTAGGTGATGGTGTGTGTGATCTGGGTCGGGCAGATCCTTTGGTATTCTTCACTTGCAGCTCATATCTGCACGCCGATTTGTTTGTTGTCATCTGATCATGGAAGTCTTTAGCGTCTCTATCTGCAAGCGCTCTTCGATCGATTGCTGTGAAAGCTTTTAGGTGCCATGCTCTCATTGTCTTCTTCTTCTTCTTCTTCGATTCCTCTTGCTCTTCAGCATCACTATGGTGGTAGTCTTTTCTGATCTCTGATCTCAGATCTCAAATCACAGGCGTTCCCGACCACCAGAGGTTAGTTGGTCAACCAGAGGTTAATATAATCCAAGTCTCACATGGGTAGTACTGTTTCCAGATAAATCCTCAAGATTTTGGTTTGACTTTTTTGCCACTTACTTGCATTTTCCGATAGCACAATACAATGATTCGTCGGTGTTATGTCTTAATCCAACCCCATGTAGGCTTTATATGCATCTCTATAGAGAGAGAGAGAGAGAGAGAGAGAGAGAGAGAGAGGTTCCCTGGTTGAATTGATGTTGAGGTAGGTGTCAGCCCAGGTGGCACTCATAATGCCGTAAAGATAACGATGTCTCTTTCTAGATGGTTTTGCATATGCATTTTTCTTCTTCACTGCTTTTTTTATTGTCTATAGCTTGCCATATTGATGAAGAACTTGCTTGGGGTGTTAGAAGGAGGTGTCATCATGTGGAACATCAATCTGAATCCTGCTCATTTTCGCATTTGCCAAATCATTCATTTTGACTTTAACAAGTGTTCTTCATTTGATTTTTAATGAGCTACTGATTTCTGACATGAATTGAAATACTTACGTAGGCATCTAACAATCAAGGAGAAATTTAGATGACACTTAAACAACTTAGGCAGTAGTAGCATACATCATAATATTCCTTCCTGTTGTGAATTGATGTTTGAGAAAATGTAATGATTGGACCGACTGCTGTTTCCTTTGGTGAAAGAATAAACCTTAACAAAGACTAGGAGGAAACTATTCTATTTCTCTTCCTCACTGCAATCCCTTTGAGACAAAAGAAAGACCCTCTGTCTCCTACTCTTCTTACCTTATAAAAGAATTGATATTGTCTATAAATATGGTATGCACATATTTGGTAAGAATTATCCTTTAGACAGACGACTTGTTATAGATTTCTTCAG